AACAAATTTAAAAAATATTGTTATAACTACATAGACAACCCTACAAACCTGTACCTATTTATACTTAGGTCGTTTTTGACCCCTTTTTCGTTGTTATTTGTACCTAACACGTCCCCAATATCCCCAAAAACAACAGATTTTTACATGTATTTTTATTTAATCAAATACATTAAAACCAATAACAACTGAGACTTACCTTTAATATATATGTTGGTTCAAACACTAAATAACGTTTATAAATCATAGTCGTCTTCTATTATTATCAAATAAATAAAAGAGAGCAAAGTTTCTAGCACTAAAATAATTACCACGACAGGAAGTTAATTTCAAACGCGATTTTTTATAAGTTAGCAGCTATTATCATGCATATTCAGAGTTGTTTTGTGAACTTTCAACATTCTACTATTAAACTACAAAAAAATGGAAGATTTTGCAACGAATATAAAACTTATATTGAGCGTCGAAAGATTTTCCCAGTTTTTTCCCGATTCGCCTTTCAATCCCTAATCGCCCCATTTTACCGGTACATATATAACTAAATATGTAATAGTAATGCCAGCACTGCAGATGACAATGATTTGAACAGTATAACAACTGACATAATGCGCATGACTATGCCCGTCCATAAGGCTCGTGAGTGGAAAAGAGAGCGAAATACTCGCTCCACCGCTCCGATTTTTTATGACCCAAACTGCACGGACAAAATAATTCTACTATAGTAAATTAGCTTTGCAAGCCTTCGTTTGTCGCAAATATGTGACTAATTCGTTCAAAGGGTTAAAAGTACCTATCTCTGACACACATTTTTACACATTTACAAAGAAGAAAGAACAAACGATATAATAGGTATGTATATGTACCTAGGTAGCTCTGCAATTGCTAACGGTACCTACTCGAGTACTATTATAAGTGTATCCTTGGTTCATCTATGATAAGGAAACGAAAAATGTTATTTAAACATATCATTTACCTATTTTTTCAATTTGTTATAGTCCGTGCCTACAAAAATCAGAGACATCTATTTATTGATAGATAACCTCAAATTATAAAGTAAACACGTTGATATCTTTTTTTTGTGACTTTCTAATACCAAAAATATTTCTGATTAAGCTTAGGCTATGTTATTCCTATCGTTTTAGTATTTTTTTGTTTTAAGACGCCTCAAATAGATGTCAGGTAAAATGTTGTATAGAAAGCTGCCATTGTTCTTTTGTAGTTGCTTGTGAACAATGTGCTCCAACACTTTCGAGAGAAAAGGAAGTATGGAGATAGGACGATAATGTGACAAAGACGAAGGATTGCTGGTTTTAGGTAAAGGAATAATATTAGCGGATTTCCAGGATTTAGGAAAGGATCCAGATTGTAAGGAATGGTTAATTATGTTCGTTAAACAAGGAAGTAGTATATCAAGAATGGGNAGCTAATCTCAGCACGGACAACGATAACTAAAATGACACGACCTCCGGTCTCGGAGGGGAGTGATGTGGCGGGTAGCCATCATACAACGCAAGATAATTGACAGATGCCTGAATCTCGCTTACGACATTTTCAAGATAAAGCGCATATATACAAGTTCCGAACAACAACATTCGGACCGTCGGTCTACCGAGCAAATATTACCCGCTCGGTGGAAGATCTTCCCTTTGTCGTACATCTCCCCAAACCCAATTTTTTGGGTCTTTGATTAGGTTCTAGGACTTAGTAGATTTATTGACAGTGTGGTGTCATCCACCCCATCGGTTCCCGTGGATGTTGTGAGGCGACTAAGGCCTTCACCGCAGCGCGGGCTTTAGTATTCTCCGAGTAATGTATCACCCGCTGGATGTACTGTGGGACGGCTGCGGAGGTACTTCCTTATTGGACACCGACATATCATAAGTAGCAAATCTACACATAGTTCACATTACAGACGGGGACTGCGTGCAGTGTTGTTGGATTCTATTAAAACATTACACTGGGACATCAACCTCGTGTCCGGTCTGGTGGACGGCGGCGTCTACCTTGTGACGTTTGAAGGGATCGGTAACCTCTCAACTTCAGGCGATCAGATAAAAGTAGTGATACTGACCTGGAAGAAGCGAACTATCTCGGCGGTGACCTGCAGCGATATCGGTATGAGGTTGTTGTACAGGATCAGGAACGTCAGGAAGTTGAACCCGAAGTGCGCGTTCTGCGCCTCTGGAACAAGCGGACGCGCCGTGACCAGGGGCTGGCGGGGGCGAGGGGGGCGCGGGGCGGGCGCGAGGGGGCGGGGCGGGCGCGAGGGGGCGGGGCGGACGCGAGGGGGCGGGGCGGGCGCGAGGGGGCGGGGCGGACGCGAGGGGGCGGGGCGGACGAGCACGCTGTCGGTTGGCCTTCGCTTCCCACGTTACGTTCATTCTTACCATCGCGCACAAAAGTTTTTAATGACGAAATGGTTTTATATCAAAAATTAGGAAAATCACTTATTACGTGTATTGTTTTATGAGGAGGAAGGCTGATAATGAATTACAAAGAAAGCAAACTTGCAAATCTAGCTTAGTTAGAGTAATTTAATTTGAAGAATTCATACTAAAACCGAAGTTATGTTACTTAATGAATTAAAACAAAGAGCAGTTTAAGAAATTGAATATCGATAGCATATTAAACGAAACAGGCCATTCTGTACTCCGTTTGCGGCCCCGTCCTGGACCATCGTAGCGGCCCTAACACAGGGATACGCTGTCAGCAGAAATATGAGTTGGAACCTTACAGGGATAGCTGGCCCCGTTAATGAATAAGTAAATTTAACGAGAGAAACAGAATGGGGGTAATTATGTGCAAAGGCAATGCATATAGAGGCTGATTACTGTGATGGCGATCATGTGGTCGGCGTGACGTCAGCAGCATTAGTTGTTCGCGGGGAGGGGGGCGAGGGCCGAGTCTAACCCCCCGCCCCCCGCCCCCCAAATCGCGCCTTCGTCTAGTTTTCACATCAGCCACGACGACTTATTGGGGGCAAGTATTATTACTTGAATTTTTTGTACTAAATTAGATTAACATATTTTACATCGAATCATACATATTTTTATTTCTATATAATGTTATATATATAATATTATACTTTCCAATGCGCCAACCGATAACCTACGCGAAGCCGCGAAGGCTCATTGCCGTGCGCGCGGACACACGCTCCGGCGCAGGGTTCGATTCAATTTGAGAATTTAATTTATAACCGGCCATATATTATCTTAGATCCTTCGATTTAAAACTAACACTGACCTTCGAGCCCGATATACCAGTCATTGTGATTCCGCATCCAGAACTCGTTGAAGCCGGCGCTGAGCAGTGACAGCGCCAGGAGGATGATGAACAGCATCAAGATGTGGGTGTTGGTCTGGCGGTCGATCGATGAGCGCTTCAACGGGGCTGGAAGACAAACTTCTTTACCGAGACAATAGACACGCCCCCGCCCGCCGCGGTGTCCGAGCAAACAACAAAAACTCCTGATCTTAAATCATTGAGTATGTACTCACTATAGATTTACACTGATGGTAGGACCAATTTGTGAGTCCGCACGGGTGGGTACCATCGCCCTGCCTATTTCTGCCGTGAAGTAGTAATGCGTTTCGGTTTGAAGGGTGGGGCAGCCGTTGTAACTATACTTGAGACCTTAGAACTTATATCTCAAGGTGGGTGGTGCCTTTACGTTGTAGATGTCTATGGGCTCCAGTAACCACTTAACACCACGTGGGCTGTGAGCTCACCCACATATCTAAGCAATAAAAATAAAATAAAAATAGTGATGTAATACTAGTGACGTTAGTGTAATAGCCGGCAAATTTCTTGAGCATTTGTTGACGTAGTGGGGGTAAGTTTGCGCATGGTACACTCACGTGCAAAAAACATTATTTACTCTGCGTCATAATGCAATTAAATTATTTAAATCAACATATGTATTTATTTATATATTTATTAGAACATCAACAAAAAATATAGGTTAATAATTGTAATAATTTAATCTTGGGGTAAAATAGATATTCCTTCTATTAAGTCAAAACTAGAGCTGTTGCCAGGTCTTGGTTCAGTTGAAGCGAAGCTGGTATTTGTAATTTTTGTTATCATAATCTTGACCATCATCATCATCACTGTTTTCATCACCCGAGTCGCCATCATCGTGATGAGTCGACATAGGGCTCTAGGTGTAGTTTACAACTCGGTCGGTTCGATAATTAATTATTTTTTGAAGATATTCGATTCGTAGTAATCGAATGTTACTTTTTTCAATTACCGTCTTCCGATTATTTTCTGTTTTTTTCCACCTGAAGCCTAGCTCTTTCATAATTCGTCTTAAACTTCATTCCGAGCCATTAAAATGTATATCTTCTTTAAATTTTTCGAAGCCTTTCTACGGTACGGAATTTCGCTGCTTGCTATGTAGTTATTATGATTACATCTTTTTATTACAGATTGAACGAAACTATCCATTCCGGTAACTTTCTTCTTCCCTGATCTTTTCTTACCCGGAGTCCCAAACACGGCGAGCATGCCAGAGCCTTTAGGTTCGTTAAAAATGCACCTAACAGTACTCACTGATGTTTTTGTTGCTTCCGAAGTCTGTTTTACTTTTTCCATATCATTCTTCCCCTGTTTTATAATGAAGCAATATACGTCGTACACAACTTTTCTACCTTTCTTTTGAATACTACACCAGTTTGTCGCGGCATAGTGTATTTTTTATAAAAAATCAACAAACACTCAACAAATAGCAATGGCAACAAAGTCAACAAACAATTATAACAAATAACTTAACGATTAATAACGATAGACTATTCACTGTACGCAAGCGTACTTTTGGCAGCAAGCGGAATGAGGGCGCGGTGCGGGACGCAAGGTTCGACTGATCTACCAATAACGCGCTCGATACGATTTCCCCTGCCGTCGCGCCTCACCCTCACCACCAAAGTGATCTAAAATTCGGTTCTGCGCAGTCAAGGTCATTTGCTCAAGAAGTTTGCCGGTTACTATACCTTTAGTAGAATTCTTCATGAGTTTGGTTTCGTGTCCCGTGTACACCACCACGCCGTGCACCCAGGCCGTGTTCCGCAGCATCGCCCCCCGGAGGAGCATCTGGTCCAAGCCCAGAGGCAGCGTCCTGAAGAAGACACATAATCCATTATTACTTTATTTGTAAACTTTCAAAATGATTTAGTAATAAACGATCCAGTGCTAATTGTTCCAAATAAACAAGGACCCTGTCCGCGCACACGGGCCGCCGATCAGTGTAGGGGGGCGGCGGGTGACGGGGGCTGCGCGGGTGGGGGGGCGGCAGGTGACGGGGGCTGCGCGGGTGGGGCAGCCATCCATTCCAACTGAGACATCGTCTCTTTCGTTTGTTTATTATTACTTTTGAGCGCATAAAAGTACAGAACAATCAAAGATAGAATACACTCGCGGCGGCTGCTAGCACGGAGCGCCGTTCCCAGATAACTTGACATACATACAAGTTCCAAACAACGTCGGTCTAAAAAGAAAATGTTCCCAGTGTCGATTACTTCAACATACTCAGCAAGCAATAGATTTAATTCGCGATACATTGACCTGAGGGTGAACACGACAAAAGTCAAATTGAAACAGTATAGCAGTTACTTGACATTAGCCTCCTTTAGCAATCCATTGAATTCGTATAGATGTCGGTTGGGCGGCTCGCACTGCACGGTGGCGCGGAAGTCCGCCAGGGCGGGGGCGGCGTCCAGGCGGGCCGTGTCGGGCTGCGCCTGCCGGATCTTCAGGTTGGTCTCTCCGTCCAGGTTGCTGGTCTCTATGAACGATATGCCTTGGGGCTCGCTGCAATACCATTGTTCTTTTGATAAGTTCAGAGATTAGATGACGAGTTCAGTATTGTATCGGAGCACGAGGTGCGACCTACAGGAGGCGGCGCCCCCTGCACTCGTGTCGGGTCCCGCAGGAAGGTACCGATTGCTCTAATGCAGCCCTTCCCAAAGTGGGCGATAGCTTATGGGCGCTACAGGCTTAAAGGTGGGCGGTAAAAGACCCAGAAAGAAAACGGGGGCGTTGTGTAGAGGCTTGAGAGGCGATTTGTAATTTCATCTAGGACCCTTAAACACCGACCGTTTTTAAGTAGGTGGAAAAATGGGGGGCGCTAAAAATAATTTATTCTCAAAGTGGGCAGTAGACAAAATAAGTTTGGGAACCCCTGCTCTAATGGAATACGTACTTAAGCAATGTTCACGAATTCTTTCTAAAACGAAGGTATAACGTCGTGCAAGGACTGGTGGTAGGGAGATTTGTGAGCCCACCCATTTCTACCGTGAAACAGTAATAAGTTCCAGTTTGAAGGGTGGGGCAGCCGTTTTACCATAGAACTAAGGCTTAGAGCTCTTGGCTCAAGGTGAGTGGCAGTTTTACGTTATTGATGTTTATGGGCTTCGGTAGCAACGTAACGCTAGATGGGTCGTGAGATCGTTCCTTCGTCTAACCTAAAAAAAGCCAACACCGAACGCTAACAGACATCACGACCACGTGCTCATAAGTGTGGAGCACAGGGCCGCCGGTGCACAGTTCCATTCACTGTCACAAGGCGGGTGGCATAATTCTGCTTGTCTATGGGCTTCGCCGAGCACCTGGTGACTGGGTGGTTAAATCCACGAGACATATGAGTGAGACGTGCCTGGAGGCCAGCAGCACCAGGTCGGCTGGGAAGAACTGGTTGTTGAGCACTTTGCAGATGTCGCCGATCTGTAGATGCTCCCATCGTATGGCGACCCAGCGCCGCTCTCGCAGCACCTCCACCAGCCTGCGGTTGGTCTCGTCGTCCGCTCGGTGCCGCTTCTGTAATCAATTGCATCTTCTATGTTTCAATTACTTTAAATGACAATGTCTAATTTACTGTATTCTTCTTTAATTCAATTTAAATAAATCAAATTCTATTCGCTATATTTAAACAGGCAAAGACAAAAGAGTTTAATATCATTTTCACATGTTTGTTAGCATTTTCGTCTTTAGTTGATATAGACGACACAGAATACCAATAACAAAACATAACACAACAGAACACTAGGAAGAAAACATTGAAGACACTAGTTTAAAAAAAATCAAAGACCTTATGAGTATTGTTTTCCATGGTATGACGTTATGGTTGAAAAATTTTTTTTATTGCTTAGATGGGTGGACGTGCTCACAGCCCACCTGGTGTTAAATGGTTACTGGAGGTCATAGACATCTACAACGTAAATGCACCACACACTGGCGCATTTACGGCAGGCTGGTTCTGGTCCAGCGGGGTATCCCGGAACACCAGCAGCACCGCCCGGGCGGCCTGGTAGGGCCGCCGTACCGCGGAGACTGACGTCGTTGGTCGTCGACTATCGCCTCGACGACCCGTCGGTCGGACGTCCTCGGGGTGGCGCCGCGTGTCTGGTTGTAGTGTTGACCGCGGGAACCCCCCTACTCTGACCGGGTTCTGACCCCGGACGGAGATTGGACGTCGGGTAGGGGAGTCGTTTAGTGGGTGGGCCCTAAAATCCTTGGGCCCGCGATCTGCTCTCAACACCTGCAGATCTTTGAGTCTCACATACCCCGCGCGCCCCCTAGGCGCGGGGACCTCGTAGGAGGTTCGGCCCCCAGCCCGAAAAAAAAAAGCCGTTGCAACTATACTGAGACCTTAGAACTTATATCTCAAGGTGGGTGGCGCATTTACGTTGTAGATGTCTATGGGCTCCAGTAACCACTTAACACCAGGTGAACTGTGAGCTTGTCTACCCGACCAAGCAATAAAATAAAAAACACACCTTGAGATATGAGTTCTATGGTCTCAGTATAGTTACAACGGCTGCCCCACCCTTCAAACCGAAACGCGTTACTGCTTCACAGTAGAAATTGGCAGGGTGGTGGTACCTACCCGTGTGAACTCACAAGAGATCCTACCACCAGTAAATACAAAAACATACTTACAAAATCTTCAACAATCTCCTTTATGGCGCTAACGCTCAATATGAGTATGAGAGGAGTGAGGGTTGTCCACCGTCCCGTCGGCGACACGTCAGGGATCTGCTGCAGCAGGGCTATCAACAGGAAGAAGCAGTTGGAATACCGACGGAACTGCTCGAACAGGAATAAGGGAACGAAGGACGGCACGCTGTGGACAAACAAACCTTCAGTCACTACTAACTTATTTGATCATGCTCATCCGTCGAATTGTAAACACGATTAAAAGGCAGTTTTATAGTACGGACTCATCTTTAATTTGAACGCCACCACGAAAACTGACAAGTGCTCAAAGCCGTAAAACTACTATTTATCTATCAAGGAGTATTAAGAACCAAAAAGATTTTTATCTAACCTGCTTTATATTTAAAAATGTCTCTATGCACAACTATATTGGTGGAAAATTTTCTTAGCCAAATGTATTAGCAAAGTGTATGAGTTAGAGGCTATCATTATCATAATTTGACTTTCCGCCTTCAACAGAAAACTAAATGAAAACAAATTAGTGATTGAATTGCGAAATACATATTGGGATAGTCTCAAAAACCTGAAAAATCTCTAGTGCCTGAAGTAATATTGGCCGGGACACGAGAGCGGCAGTATGGGCAGCAGACCTTGACGCTTGTTAACAAGAGATCGTCACGGCCGAGCCGAATTTCCGCTATGCCTTCAGAGACATGGTACTTATATCATCTAAATATTTCATTGTATTCAGAATTGAAATAATACACGTAAAGTCTTTCATTTTTCCCCTTCAAGAATGTAAGACTGCTTTAAAGGTATAACCAAGATCTGGAGCTAGCCCGTGGAAGTTCCCACCCTACGAATAAAAATAGCATAAATTTATATAATACGTACTCTAGTTTTATTTTATTAAACTATATTATAAGAGCTATCATCATAGAAGCCTTACATAATTATGTTTATGTGGTTTGCCCTGATAACATCGAACATCGATATTTCTTGACAAAGATGATTGCGAGTTTTAGCTATGACATTATAGATGCTCGATATCGTGGTGAGATTAGTACAATCTGCCCTAGTAAATTAACCCACAGATACAGCCCAGTGAGTTTCTCGCCGGATCTTCTCAGTGGGTCGCGTTTACAATCCGGTAGTAGATTCTACGAAGCACTGTCCTTGCTAGGGCCAGTGTCAACAACACTCCTGGTTTGAGTCCCGTGAGCTCACCTACATGCCCCATTACGCTGACAGTCTCTCAAGGCTATCAGCGTAGGTATAAAAAAAAACAATCTGCCCGTGTGCTAAGCAAACTATTCCCTCACAACTGTAAAATAATACAAGCGTTGCTTCAAATCGCATCAGGGCTAAGACGTCCACTGGAAACATAAACCTACTTCACAAATTTCCAAAGTGGGAAGCGGGCTATATCCCACTGGCCTCTGGGTTTACTTGAAATCTGTCTGGTATATAGATATCCAGTTTACACATGCAGCAATGTTCTGGCATAGAAAATTAGTAAACTATTGAATGCTGAGATTCCCGCCAATTTCTGCCGTGAAGCAGTTTATTGCGTTTCGGTTTGAAGGTTGGGGCAGCCGTTGTAATTATACGGGAACCACATATCTCTAGGTGGGTGGCGCATTGACTTTGTAGATATCCATGGGCTCCAGTAACCACTTAACATCAGGTGGGCTGTGAGCTCGTCCACCCATCTAAGCAATAATGAAAAATAAAATAAAAACTCCAAAATAACTGAGTGCCTGTAGCAATATTCCTTATTTCAGTTTACGCTCGATGGGCACGCAGCCAAGCGTCTGATCGTTCGTCGTAAACAATGTGCAGTACTGGTGATCTAATCACGAATATTGTATGTAAATATTTATGAGTGCTATATGGAAGTGTTCGACCTTGTTGTCCCTTAAATGAAGAGGCGACGTTCAGGAATTCCAATTTACACTTTTATAGAATACTCTAGTCGTGAATAGCGGATAGTACCATTACATACGTACGTGGAAATAACACCAGTCATTTTGTGTTTGTCACACATGTCACCCAGTATTTTCATGACTTAAAAATCATATTAGTGCGATACATTGAATATTTTAAGACTCAGTTTTATCTATTGAGAATAATCTCGAATACTTAAAAGAGTTAGTTGTGCGACTTATAAGGATTATTGCAATTTTCAAGTAGTCTTTGCTTACGAAATTCTTTTATTTTTTATAGCCCTTTTAGGCAGACGAGCATACGGTCCACCTGATGGTGAGTGGTTACCGTCGCCCACGGAGTCCAGCAATGCCAGCGGCAGAGCAAAGCCGCTGCCTACCGATTTTTTATTTACACTGGTCCATAATTTGAGGCAAAAGTTATATAGTTCGAAAAATAATCGAAACTCTCTTCTTGAGAAGTATTTTTAGCGTTATTGCAATCTCAATGCTGCAGCTCGACAAAATGAGCAGTAAATACAGGACGCGAGGACATTCAATATTTAGTGTATCGCGTAGCTATTAATAGTCGGTTAAAATTTCAAATTCATCGTTGCGATTTCTAGTTTTTTTTTTTTTTTCATATACCTAATGCAACCCGTTGTCCAGCTTACTATTGCAGCTAAATCCGATTAGAAGACTCAAGAGAGCCGTCGTGCTACCCTACTAAGGCGAGACGGAGCATTGGCTCTGTCCCTCCAAACCATAACCTCTCGCAACTCACCTGATTATAGTCTTGGTGACTGACGCAGGTGTTAAAGTATAAAAAAAAATTAAAAAAATATACCTAATGCTGACGGACGAGTTAAACACCATTTACCATGCCACTAACACATCTTAACCCTTACAACACTTGGCGTCTATATAAGTTTCAGAAAATTGGCAATCGCATATACACCATTAGCGTACTGTATTCACCCGCGCAAGCTCAGAGGTTTTCGTTACTTCTCCATTACTACAAACAGGCTAATGATGTGCGCGTTACCTGTATTTAGCAGTAGAGATCCTGTTCGAGACGAACTTCTGGGGCTGCGGTCTGTTGACGAAAATGACACGGTTCTGCTGATCGGACGTGGCACCGTCAGTGATACCTGACGTAGTTGCTTCATCTTCATCTGGAACAAACAAAAATATACATGCATATAATGCTCTATTTTATCGTGTGTCTTCAATTCAATTCAATTTAAAAAAATCGTACTAGTATACATCGTACTGATACTGATGTGCAGACTAAGCCTACATTTAAAGAAAAATCATATTTCTTGTTTAAAATGTAAGACACACAAATTATTCACGTTCTGTGCCTTTTCATCAAAATTTCACGCTGACGAGCCACGTTCAAGGTAAGGTCGAGGCGTAGTTTATAGTTCAGTCTTTTAAACACTACAATAAACGAGGTTCCTTACTTTTTTATTGTAAGAAACAAAATCAGCGCTCTCATTTTGTTGACTGGTACTACGAATTGGTTACGAGTTTAAGCTGGTCTCCATCAGTACGTGTCGAACTAATGTACACAACATATTCGGTATTTGTCTGAAGTGACGATTATACCATGTAACATAATTGTTTTTTTTTTTTTTTTTTAAATTAGTAGTAAAGTAGAAAAAAAATGTGATTGACACCTACGAGTATACTAATATATAAATCTACGGTGGTTTTTACGGATGTTCCGTTATAACTACTAAACCGTGCACGATTGACTTGAAACTTGTTATCCATGTAGAAAATACATGTACTTAATGGATAGGCTAATATTTATATGAGTGTTGGACTCCCCACACCAGTTGCGGGGGCGTTAATGATGAGAATCTTTGTGGGGGTGAGAAATAATAATGTTAATTTTAAATGCCCAGCGAAGCAGACGGGTGCAGCTAGTATTTTATAATAATGAAGTAGCGTTGTTAATATAATGCTAGTTTCAGCCAATACAACGTATATCGTACGAATCCCAAACACATATATATCGTTTGTTTTCGTTGCGGAAATTTTAAGGAGTCATCAAAAGTTATTTATTTACTAGAAATTAGTATATCAGGGGAAGTCTACAAGTAGCCCCAGTGAAAGAGAAAATAAAGAGTGGAAGGTTATTGTGGTATGTGCATCATGAGCATGTTATGCGCAGAAATGTAAAAGAGGATTTACGGGAGATGGGTGTCAACACAAATATGATGTATGCCTAAATGGAAAAAGAGGACATGCTGCGCCCTTCCCATAATTACGTGGCATTAAGGAAACAATAACAAGATCAAATTATCCTCAGTAAGACTTCGCTGAGTGACCGCAAATATTACAGGGTGAACTGTCAAACAAATAAGGTAAAATCGGTTATGTTACAATTTTAATGGGTTACCATAGTTATGGCAACAATATATAATTATTTTAGCCTACTACGCCAAAGCTAAAGACTGCTGATAATGTTTATGAGCTGTCTAGATCTATAGGAATTAAAATATCGCCCTTCACCTTGAGAGACAAATTCCAATTATTAACTGCACTGGAATGTGATAAGTGGCCCATTTTGATGAAGCAGAGCAGTGCTACCAACCCGTGCGGGCTCACAACACACCTACTTTTTTTACTACCTAACTGCCAATAACCTCGAGGGGTTATTCTAGCTTTTTTCCAACCTAAGCTGAGAGCCTTGAGAAGCTATTTCAGCGTAACCTTAACTAGTAGGTGAGCTCACGGGGCTCAAACCTGACGACGTTGCTAACACGAACCCTAGCAAGAGCCGTGCTTCGCAGAATCTACCACCGGATCGGAAACACGATCCACTGAGAAGATCCGGCGAGAAATTCAGTAGGCTGTGTCTGAGGGTTAATTTACTCGTCGAGCCCTTCGTCGCAAGCGACGGGTTTGACGAGAACGATGACCGGTGCTTGAGGTACCTAAAAGCACAGTTGGTGGATCGGGAGGATCCGAAATTACGTGTTTGGGGCGACGTCGACTGCTTTCCATTCTGTCCGCAGGATCGGGAATGTAGTTACTGGTGGCCACCATGAGAGGGTTCTCGTGTCATGCCGCTTTGTCGAAATGGAATTCTAGCAACATCAGCCCTAACAAGCACGATGATTCGCGGATCGGAATCACGACCCACTGAGGAGATCCAGCGAAAAACTCCGTGGATTGTGCCTATGGGTATCTGCGTTACATTCGACGATAACGGTGCTCGGAACGCTTGAAAGCACCGAGAGTGGATCGGTAGGATCCGAAAGACATGTCTAGGGAGACATCCGCTGTTCTGGGTCGGGGATGTAATTTGTGGCGGTTACGACAAGAGGATTGTCGTGCCGTGACACTGTCTCGAAGAACTCCTATTGTACCAAAACAGTTGAACATATTTTTCTCTTTACTTATTATTTTTTCTTTTTGTTTCTCTAATTAAATTGAGGTTTGTAACCGATTTTAAAGTAGCTTCCTCATGAGCCAGAATCTGACTACGCAAAAAAAACTACGGAGAAATAAGAAGTTTTGTACTTTTTTATTTGTTGTTGAAAACGTAGTAATCCAATTTTTGTTTCACTATTTACCTACTTGTTAACAAATTCTGATACTCGATGTATCCTTAACACTCACAATTGATCATGTTTCAATAAATTGAATATGTCAATCATTACTAAGCCTTTGTAGTCATCGGGTTTCCAATGAACGTAATACAATATATTATTATATTCATATTGATAATTACATTTTAATGGAATCATAGTTAACGAATTTAGCGTATATGTTTAAATTAACATTAATATAACGGAATGTTATAGAAAGTTCGAAGTGAGCGTACCGTCTGGTTGTCAAAGGATCCATTTCCAGCAAAGCGACTTCTTTTATTTGCTATCTTTTAGAGCTCACGAAGGTACTGCTTGATGATGATGAATGATGCAGTGCGTTAGTTATTCGTTCCTTGATTTTAGCTAAGTGAAACAGAGAGAGACCAATATTTCTCCGTGTTTCACTCCAAGGAAAGTTATTTCGAATTTTCGGCAATTTTTTTTTTTGGTAGATGGGTGGAAGAACTCACAACCCACCTGGTGTTAAGTGGTTACTGGAACCCATAGACATCTACAACGTAAATGCTGCCATCCACCTTGAGATGAGTTCAAAGGTCTCAGTATAGTTACAACGGCTACCCCAGTCTTCAAACCGAAACGCATTGCTGCTCCACTGCAGAAATAGGTGGTGGTACCTACCCGTGCGGACTCACAAGAGGTCCTACCACCAGTAATTACGAAAATTATAATTATGCGGGTTTTTGATTTTTATTACACGATGTTATTCCTTCACCGTGGAAGTCAATCGTGAACATTTGTTAAGTACGTATTTCATTAGGAAAATTGGTACCCGCCTGCGGGACTCGAACACTGGTGCATCGCTCGATACGAATGCACCGAACGTCTTATCCTTTAGGCCACGACGACTTCACTGCGTTGTGTTTAACTCTTTTCCGATTAGTAAATCGCCACGTAATTACATATTTACACAAGTAATGTCGTATTTCATTTTCAAGCGGAGTTACCGCTTTTTTATCGAATTTCGGACCTCGATTTAATATTGATGATTCGCTGCATTCAGACACAGGCAAATGCAATACGTGATTACTCATCAACCCACCTGCAATAAGTCAGCTGAAGTCTTAGGTCATCATATATTTTAATTTAAACACTGACGCAAGTGCAATGTCTGATCTTTCAACTCTTTTTTTGTTCTTTGCATTGTCCCCAGCTTAATAGTGCAACATGCTAACAGCACTCTCTAATTCGTAGAGCACGAACCAACGAGTGCCCAAAGCGAACCGCATTTATTATTGTAATTATATATGTATAACGTTAATTAATGCTAATACGCTCGAGGAAATGCACACGATTAGTGGAGGCTGGTGGATTAGGCAGGACGTGCGGTGAAGGTGGAATGAGGACAGGTTAGGTGAAGTCCGACATAACCCGGTTCGTACCCCCAATGGTCGGGTTTTCGTAAAGTCAGATTGCCCAGCGTTAAAATTATCAGTTTTTTTTTTGTACGTTGTGTTTCAGTAGCAATCATAGGTTCATAGTACCCAGTCTGCGGTCACATTCTTAACGCTGCGGGCTGCGGTGTTGTGCAATGTACCGAAGTGAAAAGTCATACTATTACTTTCTAGCTCCTCGTTAAGGTTTGTACCTAATATTTTAGGTCGCTTGTTGTTGTGCTACTATTTTAATTGCGGGTTAAGGCGTTTTGGAATCGAGTCGTTGCGACTGTGCCGGTAAATCGCGCAGGCAAGTACCAATTAACAAAATACAACACTACCACATGTTCACGAATGACTGCAACGATGAAGGAATTTTATCGTGTTATAAATATCAAACTAGTAAAAGTTAGTTTGCGTGGATAGTTGGCTAAGTGGTGACGGGCGTATTGTACGCCCGCACGGGTCGGTAACATGGTTACCGCCACCATGGCTATTTCTGCAGCAAAACCGTCAAGCTTTCCTTTTTGAAGGGTCAGACAACTGTCGTATACAATTGAAATTTAGACCTCAAATCTCAAGGTGGGTGGCGGTATTCACTTTACGTTGTTTATGGTCTTCTATGACCAATGAACATCAGATGGGTCGTGAGCCGTGAGTTCTTTTACTCATTAATGTAGTAAAAAAATATAGGTTTCAAGAAACCGGGTGACGTCAGAGCGTCTCGTTTATCATACGAGCAAAATACTCATTGTTACTTACACAATAGGGTACAGAGTACATACATCAAATTTTATCGGACTATGGTAGGTAAGTCCCGAGGAATTATAATTATTTCATCGGAAATGTTCATTTGTATTTGCAAATAGTTCACGGTGTCATTCGACGATACCATTAATGAGCTTACTCCGCGTGTTTCTTAATAGCACCTGCCGTGAAAAAGTCGGGCATACCAGTTTGAAGGGTGGAACGGTTGTTTCCAATACAACAGAGATTTCAGGTCTCAAAGTGTGTAGCGACATTCAGTATACGATGCCTGTGGGCTCTGGTAGTCACTTAACAGGTGGTGGACCGTGAACTCGTTTACACATTTAGTACTAGTTTTTTTTTGTGTTTGTTGTATGCTTCTTAAAACCTGGTCGGAACTACGAATTGTACTCCATCCTCATATAGCTACGACGAGAGCAGCATAACTCGTTGGTCAAACACATCTAGCAGTGGAATGATATTTGGTTTAAGCGCCATTTCTACGCCACATTTATCATTGTTATTAAAGTTGCGTTTTATTTGGTATTAGCATCAACAGTTCAATGTTTTTAATTGAAATTCAATTAGATTTAGTCCATTCAAATAGCCGAAGAGGCTTTTTGTATGAATGTTTTTTTTTCCAAAATTTAAATTTTAAATGGCTCTCTTGTAAAGTTGTAAAAATGTCGCATAAATCAAATAGCTTTTACCCCTCGACATAATACATCTATTGCAATAAAAACAAAAAACAAAATCTTCACGCACTTTCACCGTGAACATAAAACCCATAACATAAATTCTGGCCATTCAGAATCAGAGCAACCATTATTAATTGACAATTTACAGCTAATATCCGTGCAGTTACGTAGTTTCCAAAAGCATACATACACAGTGCTTTACAATTAGTTTTCCTGCATAGTATGTTATCACGCGACATTAAATAATACTAATTTATTGCGTGTACGTACCTACTGAACGTAACATTGACTTTAAAAAGGTCAGACGATTCTGCATCAACAATTGCTTGTAGTTGATCAAAGCACGGCACGTTGGCCAGTCACCGTCGACGCCCTAGACACGTCCTTACGGATCCATCAGATCCAATAACCTTTGCATCAGACGCCTTCAGCTCTAACACTAGGAGCAGGATTAGGGACCCCGGTAACCGTACTCGTTGAACTCGACAAAGAGTTCGCCGTGCAACCTAACCCATGAATCAGCTCGCTGAGTTTCTCGCCGGATCTTCTCAGCGGGTCGCGATTCCGATCCGGTAGTAGATTCATTCGCGAAGCAGCTACTCTTGAGCTGTTAGGTCTCCTTCGAAGGCGCTCGGGTAGCTGTTAGCAAATCCCACCCCTCTTGGCTGAGCCTTTGCTCGCCCACCTGTCCTGGTGAAACTGGAAAGGCCTCCGGGCCACCAGTAATCCTTCAATCATAAAAAAAAGAAGCACGGTACGCGACCACAGCCACCTCTATTGCTATTTCCCCTAATTTTACCGACGGCAGGACGGCATTGCTAGATTCCGTCAGATTCAATCCGTTTTAGGCGTGAAGTTTTAAAAAACTATCATCTGAATGGTATGATAGCTGAATCACTATATTCTTGAGACTTCATATCAAAACGGGTGGCTGCATTCACTATGTGATATTTTTAGCTTTGGTGACCAAATAAGACAAGGTGTACCACGCCCTAGTCTGTCAATACTTGCCACATTTATTTAAAAAATGATAAGATAACTCAACATTCGGGCTGGATTCATAATCATAAATAAACTCACATGAATACAAACATTAATTGCTTACTTATTTTTTCAGAGTTTCCAATGTTGTACCGTTATTAAAGTATAATTTTAAATTGTAATTGTTAATTAAACGGTTGCCTGGAAGAGATCGCTTTTAACGATAAGACTGCCTATTGTACAAATGTATCTGCTTGTTGACTCTTTTTTAATGTTAATTGTGTTTTGGTGTGCAATAAAGGGTATTTATTCTCTCTCTCTCTTTCTTTCTAATAGTTAGCATAATTAAAATGATCATAAACAAGCAACGCCGAGGCCCGAAACTGAATATTTCATTCATGATCGTTATCAGTCGCGCGTGCCGGGTCAGCTCTCACAAGGTCATGTGAACTCAAGGACAAGGCTCCAAAATAATAGAACCAAAATACTTATGTTTTCATACATTTTATACACGTATTACAGTTTGACCTGTATTTTTGTAATGTATTCTTTGATTCAATGTTAACGCTTTTAATGCTAAAGCTGAGTTATATTTTTGACTAACTGTACCCGCGAATCCGTCCGCGTGGAACTTAACAAAACATTACTATGTTTTCTAATAATGTTAGAATTTTCCTAAAATAGAAGAAGCCTAAGTTACTCCTTATTACATCTGCCATCTGCCAGAGAAAGTCCCGTCAAAATCAGTTCAGTCATTCTCTTTTTAAATTTTTTTATTGCTGAGATGGGTGGACGAGCTCACAGTCCACCTGGTGTTAAGTGGTTACTGGAGCCTATAGACAACGGCTGCCCCACCCTTGAAGCCGAAACACATTACTGCTTCACGGCAGAAATAGGCATGGTGATGGTACCTACCCGTGCGGACTCGCATGAGGTCCTACCACCAGTGATTACGCAAATTATAATTTTGCGGGTTTGATTTTCATTACACGATGTTATTCCTTCACCGTGGAAATCAATCGTGAACAATTGTTAAGTACGTATTTCATTAGAAAAATTGGTACCCGCCTGCGGGATTCGAACACCGGTACATCGCTAGGATACGAATGCACCGGACGTCTTATCCTTTAGGCCACGACGAATTGTACAATGGCTATTTTATATGATGGAGAGCTGATGCCCTGATTATTGTTAGGATAGCATGACATCTTCAATGCTGACATCGCTGCCCTCATCATCAAGGTGGTCATTCATACTTAGTGAAGTACAAAGATAAACTTGTTTACTTGTAGCTGTTTTTTCGCTTCAAAAACTAAGGCTGACACAAGTAATGTAAAATACAAATTTGGCTTTTTTTTATTGGCCTTGTAAGGCAGACGAGCATACGGCCCACCCGATGATAAGTGGTTACCGTCGCCCATGGGCTTCAGCAATGCCAGCAGCAGAGCAAGCCACTGCCTACCTTACTACTTAAGTACTCTCCACAAGCCTCATTTGAAGAAGGAGATGTCATAGCGTTTGGGAAACACCGTGGAGGACAGGTCATTGCAAAGCTGGATGACAAAAAAGATATCTGGAAATGCACTATAGTAAGCAGTAGCTCTAGGTAGTATTGAAGAAATCGACTCTGGTGGCGGGCAGTGCAATGGTAAAAACGAAATGATGGGATCATCTCAAATAATTCCTCGGAGCATTCCCCATGGAACACACAGTACAAAATACAGGGAGAAGCATAGTCCCTGCGCAAACCCAGATGTACCAAATGATCCACGATAGTGGGATTATTGAGAATCTGAACTTCTGTATGTACAGTATGTATAATTTGTTTTTACAATAATTACATGGACGAACTCATGGCCAGCATGATACCAAGTGGTTGCTAGAGCCATAAGACATCACGTGAATTCAGCCACCCATATTTACATAAGAAAGAGGTCAAGGTTTCAAATATATTGCACAGCAGCTTTTTCATAGGTACTAGGAATGCATGATTGCTCTGTGGCAGAAATAGCAAATTTGTACACCAACATCACTTCATACAAGTACACAGTGCTTCTTATCTTTTAAGCCACAATGACTTCAAAGATTCAAGAATATAAAAAAGACAAGCCTGCGAATTTTATTTCTCCAGTTCTATTCAGGGCTGTGGCTCATTTCAAAACTAGTAGAGTTTACTTTCAAAAAGTATACATGACATATAAATTAATGACATTTAAAATTTTCAACAAAAGATCCACAGAGACTATCCCAGTTGGTGCTGTCTATTTCAAAATAGTAAAATCTTAATTCTTGTATTCTGTATCAAATCAAGCTTAATATCTTCTATGTAATTTTCAAGAGCTTCTAACCCTCAATAATAACATGAAATTACTAAATATTTTTTCAAAAATTATTGAAAATTTTTATAATAGGCACTCATACTTAAACAGCAAGACCAAGATTCAGAGAGCAACAGTACTTAAGGGCAGATACGGTAATACTAGTATCATGGTTAGTGTTAGAGATCAAGATCTTTAAGGATTCAAAGCCATCAGTGTAAAGTATGTATAGTTTAACTGTAACAATTTATCTCTGATTATCATGCACTTTTAGTAGGTAATTGGTTTTGAAAGCATCTGTTCATAGACTAAGTAGAACGTGTCTGGTACTTACGCTGGTTCATTTTGAGCACCATGGCCCTATAAAACCTGGAGAAAGGCGCCATAATGTTGTGCTCCTGCAAGAAGCTCACCACGTACTCTCTCAAAGCTAACGCCATGTCGACACTGATGTAATAATATTATTCTTCACAGGGTTATACTAATACAAACTAAATTTGACACACATTATCACCGCTCCGTACAGTTCAAAAATATTTTTATTGAACGAAAATAGAGATTCTGTCATTGGATATTGTATGAGGACATCTTCAAAATATCGGGCGCGGACGATATAATTTTTGGTTTTGGTTAAGGTTTTACAATTGTTACATTGAGCACCTAATGAAATTACTCAGTAAAGTTTTGAATACATGTTGTCATCACAAACAACAGCTACGTAAATCAACGAATCCGCGATCGATCTTTCCATTTTCGCCGCCTACTATAGTCAATAGTGATGTGCGCACTTGACATTTGTAACGAAGTTCGTCGTGAATCGATTTAAGCTATAAAAATTTAACAAAAAAAAACTGTTCATGAAACAGTATGTAACTCTACATAATATATTACTATTTGCTATATATTACATTACTGAATCTTGGTGTAAACAGATAAAAAAAAAAACTATCTACAAAGATCGAGACGTGAAGTCTCGTGTCAATTGCATCTACACTATTACAGTTCTTGGTTTACAGAACTAAAACAAATCAACAGATTCGCACAAGTTGCTTAGGTTGTTTCTGAAACAAACTAAGCATAAGTTTGAATTTAGAAGATTGACAGAAGATTTTAATCTACATTTAGTTTAGCACTAGATACGCCGTGAAATTGTTTGCCCATCCATTTCTCCAAATAATATTTACGCATATAATTTAACTAATGTAAAAGTAGCATTTGCTTGTTTAAAAGTCAGATAACTAATACTTTTTTTTATAGCGTAAATCGCTGGGGAGAAATATTGGATTGAAATTTGATCTGAAAGTTATGAAAAAGCATTAAGGTTTCATTTCACCTAAATCACGTGAATATTTTTTTTCATTACATATTTAGTTAGTCTCCCGAAATTTTGTATGTATGGCAACGACTTACAATACAGTCATAATACTCACCAGCGTTAAAATACTCGTTTAGACCCATCTTTTACTATGTTTTAATTAGGCAAGTGTGATTGAAGTTTAAAATAATTGAAAATAAAATAACAGTTTATAATTAGGTAACTTAAATGTGGTTTCTGTGTTTAATGAATTAAATTAAATTCGATTTGATTTGCTATTTTTGTTTCCAATTGCTGTTACAAACAATCGAATGATGATTTCCTTTCCCAACACTAAAACTCTTGGCAGGTAACGCCCTCTGGAGAATTTTTCCCCCAACTATTGACAATTTTTAATTTCAAATGGTAAATCTATTAAAATATAAGAACTCCACGAATCCTTTGGTGTGTATACACATGTCTATGTCCATGAACGAGGTACTTATGGTATTATTGCAAACACTAGTCATTTTGGATTTTGTTTCATTGGGATAGCTAGATAGATTAGCCCGGATTAATCTGGAGGACTTTCTACTGTTTCCATCTTCACCAGGACGGGTCTGCGAACTGAACGACTGATATCTAAACTGAATAATGACATTCTAGTCTTGAAATGCTTTGAGGTTCAACTAGTGCTTAATTGAGACCTTGACCTTAAGATAGTTATAACATGGTGGTGGGCGATGTGCTCCTCGTTTGTCTGTCTGCCCACCATCATCAGATTTTTTAAAATAGGACACTTGGAAAGTGCCTTTCTTGTTTTCTACTGAATTAAAAAAATGCAACAAGGAGGCACCTGGCTATCATATAGATACTGGGTCTATCAGTTTCAGTTCTACAGGACAAACTGAGTCTATCAGTTTTACAGGACAAACTGAGATTTCTGTGATGATATGATGTTAATGCGGTCGAAACATTCTCCAATGATTTAATGACCTATGATTTACTGCTTTTTATCGGTATATGAAATCGTCGTGGCCTAAAGGATAAGACGTCCGGTGCAATCGTTGTTGCGATGCACCGGTGTTCGAATCCCGCAGGCGGGTACCAATTTTTCTAATGAAATACTTAACAAATGATCACGATTGACTTCCACGGTGAAGGAATAACATCGTGTAATAAAAGTCAAACCCGCAAAATTATAATTTGCGTAATCACTGGTGGTAGGACCTCTTGTGAGTCCGCACGGGTAGGCACCACCGCCCTGCCTGTTTCTGCCGTGAAGCAGTAATGCGTTTCGGTTTGAAGGGTGGGGTAGCCGTTGTAACTATACTGAGACCTTAGAACTTATATCTTAAGATGGGTGGCGCATTTACGTTGTAGATGTTATGGGCTCCAGTAACCACTTAACACCAGGTGGGATGTGAGCTCGTTCACCCATCTAAGCAATAAAAAAAAAAAAACTTCGAAGTTGTTTTGACGCGGGAGTGATTTTACTTGATTCGGTCGAGTGTCAATAGGACAGAAGGATAGAAAGCAGAGCTCGAGTCCAGCCAGGAGGGGATACGTCGAAGTCTCAATAATTGTGCTGTTATAGCGGCTGGTACCGCCCTGTCTATTTCTGCCGCGAAGGGTGGAACAGCTGTACACTGAGGCTGAGATCTCATGTCTCAAGGTGGATAGGCACGCATGGACTCCGCCCAGCACTTAAAGTTGCTGAGAACTCGTTCTTCCGTCTGTCTTTCCTACCTAATTACCAGTAACCGTAAGGTACTATTCTGTTTTTTTTCGAACTGGTGGGCGAGCTCGCGGGCTCAACCCGGGATGACTTGCTAACCCTAGCCGCCGGAATCGCAACCCACTGAGAAGATTTGAGCTGAGAAACTCAGTGCGTTGTGCCTGTGGGACTGTGCGAGATCATAATACCTCCATATCGTCAGCATTTTTTTAAAATATTTTTTTTCTTCTTCTTATCAGCCCACAGACATCCACTGCTGGATATAGGCATCCCCCAAGCCTCACCACAAAGATCGGTCCGGCGCTGCCTGCACCCAGCGGATTCCCGCGAACCTTAATCGGTCGTCGGTCCATCTTGTGGGAGGTCTAGCCACGCTACGTCTCCCGGTACGCGGTAGCCTCTCAAGAACTTTCTGGCTCCAACGGACATACGTTTTACGAGCAATGTGTCCTGCCCACTGTCACTTCAACGTCGCAATCCTTTGGACTATGTCGGTTACTATGGTTTTCCTGCGAATCTCCTCATTTCTGATTTGATCTCGTAGGGAAACTCTGAGCATAGCCCTCGCCGTTGCTCTTTCGGTGACCTTCAGCCTTTTTATAAGGCTCACTGTTTATATCTTATTTTCTAAAAATAAACATTTCTAAAAAAAAAAGTTTTTTCCTGAAAATAGTTCCATTTCGGAATGGAAACGTGTCCCTAGACAATTTAGAGGTCCATTCTACCTGTTCCCTGAACAAATAAGCGAACCGTCTAATTAGAGCTTCAATTAAACTCTATTTTCCCTTTGACATTCAAGTTCGGGTTCGATGTTATTTGTTGACTTGTGAAATTTAGACTTACGGGACATTTACATAAGGACAACAGCGATTTCACGTCAATTTCGTGATATTAATGATCTTTGTTTATAGAATACAATATGAATGTAGTATTTAAGTACATACATAGGACAGAAATTCATTCCTAGTTTCCAGTACACAATAAACATTTAATTTAATTCTGAGGAATCCGCTTACGGATATCCGGTCGAGGGGGGGACCAAACTGGGTTGTTTCAGACTCCGGCGCCTCTAGAGAAAAAGAGGGAGAAAAGGAAGATCGAGGTCCTCCTCCTCTTCCTCCAATTCTTCCCAGGAGACTACGCCTTGATAAAGCGCGCGAGGCACCTGCCCCGCAGAACCGACTACCGACTATACCCCATCGAGTTTCACCACACCAGCTAGACGAAACTTACAGTACTGCATGAGTACACAATAAACCTAGCTATAGAATATGTAAATAAAAACAAATTTCCGAAGTGCTATGCGTTACCATGAAAACTAAACATAAAATCATAGAAAATATAAAGATTGGATTAGATGGTATAGTCATTCAGGTTTTATAAAGTACTAGGTACTAATTTTAGCACGTTTGAGAAAACAGATCAGAGTGGATGTTTTGCGCGAGACGATGCTAGGCGCGCTAGTGCGGCATTTAATTATTATATTGCAAACATTTCAGACCATGTTGTTAGTATTTTTATACGCTGAAATAATATATCTATAATACTGTCTTCTGCGAATGTGGAGTTGGTGAGTAATTCAATTACTCCAAAGAAGTTCTAGATTCTTATATGCGTTTATTTATACATTTTTTTAAAATATCTATACCTAAAGTATAGAGCATTGTGACTAACATATGATATTAAAATATACATGCATATTGCATTATTATGGAACTATGTATACTTACAGATGCTCAAATCCTACGACAGATACATTCCATATTTTGAATAAATACGCCTATAAGCTACGGGTTCACGAATAACATCGACGAAGCCATCATAGGGTCCAGTTTGTAGCGTAGAACTTGTATTTTTGTACATTAAGCCTCAATTTGCGACAGTGTTAAAGTAATTTTTTATTTATTGCGTAGATGGGTGGACGAGCTCACAGCCCACCTGGTGTTAAGTGGTATAATTAAAATTATATAAGTAATGATAGCTCCTGTCCCAAAAATTATACAAAGAGATGATATATGGTTACTAATGAGATTGAGAATCAGTAATTACATTACGCTTTGAACCTACGCTAATTATACTTATTATAATACGTAGTATCTACCTACATACGAGGGTGTTAAAATTTCTACCACATTTGTCACAGGCTGGTTGAATTTTCGTTTTCATGTTAATCTGCAGCAGCCATTTACATAGAAGGTGAGTGTGAGCTCACCTAGCCACTTAGAGCAATAAGAAATAACGCAAAATGCACATAAGTAAAAAAAAACGATATCTATTTGTATCTTCGATATCTAGTGAAATGTTCACAGCTCTCTCCGATGACCGCTGAGCAGAAGTCCCAAGTTGTTCGACACATTTTAGATCCAGATAAGGTTTAAGTAAACACGGAAGTTTCTATCTTCGGTCACGTTCTCACGGGAATATTATCGCGATTAAATATTCCTTCACAAATCTCTGATATATTTCGTTTGTTAACTTGGCTTTTACTTTTTTCTATTTATTCGATTTAAATGATGCCTAAATAAAAAATTAGAAGTGTCGAACAGTGGTTAGTCAAAGCTTATAGCATACAATAATAATAAAAACAACGATTTTAGTTGATTTTGAAGATATCATAAAAAGGAATTATCAAAAAAAATTAAACTCGTGAAAAAAAAGCTATTTCAGACACACATGTAGACACCTCGTTTAGGAATTTTTCTTGGAAATTTGATGTATATTT